TGTGTTGGGCCGAGGTGGGTGATACACCTTTGTTGGGTCCGGAGTGGTTAGGGAGACGACGGAGAAAGTTGAGCTTATCCGTAGAGGCTGTTACAGCCCAGAGTCGACAAAAGAGTTATGCCGACCGTAGGAGGAGACCTTTGGCGTTTGAGTAGAGTGATCATGTCTTTCTGGAAGATTATCACCTAGACGAGGCCTGATGAGGTTTTGAAGAGTGCGAAGTTTTCCCCTCGGTTTATTGGTCCTTTTGAGATCCTAGAAAGGATAGGTGAGGTTGCTTATCGTGTTAGCCTTACCGCGCAGTTGTCCGGAGTGCATGACGTGTTTCTGCATGTGAGTATGCTTCGGAAGTATGAGCCAGATCCATCACATGTGCTGGATTGGAGCGATTTAGAGGTTAGATGAGGATGCCTCGTATGAGGAGGGACCGGTTTCGGGTCTTGGATAGCGCGGATCAAGTCCTGCGTGGCAAGACCATTCCTTTGGTGAAAGTTCTTGTGGAAACATCACGGAGTGGAGGAAGCCACTTGGGAACGTGAGTTGGAAGTCCGAGAGAAATATCCGGACTGTTTGTTGATATGTTAATCTTATAATTTAAATTTACATTTTTGTTGAACTTAAGAGCTTATATATGTCTTAAGTGTGAAACATTGAAAATGTTTTGATTATTGGAAAGTATGTTTTGGAACTTGCCTCATATGGAAGTTGAATGTAACATTTATATCTGTTGAATATGATTGTTGAAATTGGAAGGATAGTGCATATGTGATGCATGTTGAAAGTACATATGTTGTTTACATATTGTGATATGTCTCTTGTTTAAGGGATGGGAATGACCGGTAAGTTCGAATTGTTGAATGTTAAAATGTAACATTGTTTGAAATGGAGGAGAACTTGTTTTTTGAAAACTTGTGTTTAATTTCGGGACGAAATTCTTTAAGGGGGGAGGTTATAGCGATCTCGCGGTTTACCCTTGTGTTATAGTGATCCGGACATGTGTCCGTGGATGTTGTAGTTGTTTATTATCTTGTTTGCATCCTTTCTCACTTTCTATTGAGTGTTATAGGATGTGTTGAGCGGGTTTGTTACAGGTTGGTTGAGTTTAGAAATCAAAACTAGTTGCCCAGATTTTTGGCCTGTACGCTCGAGCGTAAGGCTGTTGGCGCTCGAGCGTAGATTACATCCTCCCAGTATCTTGTGGCATGTTGTGAGCTCGAGCATAGGGTTGGGAGCTCGAGCGTAGGTCTGGTTCTGCAAAAGTGCTGAGCGAGTGCATTCTGCGCTTCGAGCGGGAGGTTGCGCGTCGAGCTTTACGTCTGTGATGCCGCTCGAGCGGGGTGTTTACGCTCGAGCGAGACCTGGGTTAAAGTTCCGAAATTTGTGACTTTTCAATCACTTTTCACTTTCTCTTCTCTCTCTTACTTTTCCAAAAGCCATTTTCAGAGCTTCTCACTCAAATCGGCCCTTCTCTCTTAGTTTTGATCTATAAGGATCGTTTACTCACCTTTTTGCCTTCACAAAAGTTGTGTTGATCGTCGAGAGCTTCCTTTGATCTGAAAATTTTGAGGTTTGGAGCATTTTGGTTTTGGTCTTCATCTCCTTTGGGACTCCGAATTTGAAGGTAGGATAACCTACTCCTCTCTATGGGTTTTGTTCTTTAAATTTTGGTATTTTGAGATGTTGGTTTGGTTTGGTAATCTTGTAAAGGTTTGGGGCTTTTGTGTAATTTTTACAAAGGTTGGGGTTTATTCATAATAAACCTAGATGCATGTTTGGCATAGAAAAACGGAATGATTGTTGAATCAATTGATGAAAATGGGACCTAAGGGTTGAAATGTTAATATATGGGAATTGACCTAATTACATTGTTTAATTAATTGGGATAATTAATTGTGAGAAAAGAGGAAATGAAATGTTGATTGAATATCCATTTGTGCATTTATTTTCTGTTTAGAAATAACTGCTTTGGGCTATCGGTGGAGGATAGTCGAGATTGTTGTAGACAATGCATGATGATTAGGTAAACGGAAACTAATCAATGAATGTGTCATGGAACTTGACGGTTGATAGAATACATTAATTGTATGTATTGTGTGATTGTATATAGAACCAATGTGTTTATATACGTTATGTGTAGAGGAGGAGATAGGGATGTACTCCGCGGTTTAGGGGAAGATAGGGGATGTACCTCTAAACCGGATAGGTATTGGGAGGAGATAGGATGAACTCCGTAGACAGAGCTCATATGCTTGTCTAGAGAAGTGAAGATAGAGCTCATATGCTTATCTTTGTGAAGTGTGGATACAGCTTGTATGCTTATCTGTGGATATGTTGATATACAAATCTGTTGTGAAGTGTGGATACAGCTTGTATGCTTATCTGTGGATACTGTTGACATACATATCTGTTGAGAATGTGGATATACCTTTTATGCTTATCTGAATGTGAGATATTGTTTTATACATATCTGTGGAAATGATAATAGAGCTAGCATGCTTATTTGTTGAAAAAGGGAAAATGAAAAGTAATTGGGACTTGTAAGTCGTGACATAAATATGTAATTTATGTGATTGTATCAGTGTTGACCAACTATCAATTGCTAACGTTTTAGTCATTGTCCATGGTTGGTTTAGTGTATTTCTACTGGGCTGTGGCTCACCCTATATGGGAATATCATTTTCAGGTACAGGAAGCATGCCACCTCCAAGGACATAGCTGGGAGCGTTGGGCGGGCATAGTTTGTCGTTTTTACTTTGATGTATTACATGTAATTTCAAGCCAAGGGCTTAATGTGTAAACGAGTTAGAACTCTTTGTTGTAACCAAGTGTTAACTTGGAAAGCTGTAAGCCCGTAGGGCATTTTGTTATGAGATAAACATGTAATCTTATGTCTTGGAATTCTAATGAATGAAAGGAATGCGGATAGTTTAAATATAAATTCATGTCTTATCTGATGGGTTTATTGTTTTATTTTTTTAGGGCGTTACACAAAAGCATCATTCAGTAAAACAAATATTAATTTATTCCTTATCATTAATAAAATAATTTTACTAAAATAATCTGCCATGATTTTGATTCTAATATAAACTTGCTCTGATACCACATGTAAGATTATAGGATCTATATACTAGAAATCAAACACTATGAATATAAGTAACTACTAAAATACAAACTTAGATACATACCGTTTGATTCCGTTATTGTCTTGAGTTTTGCTTCCTTGAAAGAATATGGCATTCACAATTGGAAACCTTAACACCAGCTCTTCCCCTCTTTCTCTTAATCTTTTTGTTGTCTTTTCAATGGGTTAACAACCCTTTGATCTACATATATATAAATATATGTAAACCCTAATAAGGATAGAAGAGGGGACTGGACCTAAATAAAACAATTACTGAGCCTCCCATTAAGGAACTCAAATAACTTAAAACATGCCTTACACCTCCATATCACATATCCACAAATAAAATAATATATACACTAAGATGACCATAACCCAAACTTTATGGATCACAATAATAATTTTGGCTCATACCGGTCAATCTATCTGAATCACGTTCAACCCGTTTTTCACAAACAAACAAATAATAGTCAATGACAGCCTAATTGAGAACAAATTCTTACAGACATCTCTATTGATCGCCGATTCATGTATAGATGAAATCTATGCATTATTTTCTGGGAATCTCATTCTTCTTCTCTTCTTGCAGTATACTTGGCAGAAATTCTTCAAAAGAATATGTGTTTATAGATTTCAATTTTGGGTGATTTATGAGGTGGGTTTATGAAATTTGGATATGGATATTAAGTGTTGAAATTGAAACTACCAGCATGAAGAAAAGCAATGTTTTCAAATATACGAACCATGTTTGGACCTATGCCATTTCCAACCTTTCATCTTTCTCTCTGCTCTCTCCGATGTTTCTTCACTTTCCGTTGCTTTAATGACTGTTCCATACTCACAAAGCCATTAAAAAAGTTTTAGATTTTTTATTTTGTTTTATTTTTTTTCTGTGTTTGTGATGATATGCTTGGAATGTTAAGAAACTTGATTTTGATTCTGAGTTTGGTTTTAGAAAGAACAAGAAAGAACAGAGGGAGAAGATGAAGGAAACAGAGGGAGGGAAGAAAAAAGAAAAAAAAATGTTAAAATAACGTCGTTTTGGCACATCGAGCCATTTGGGATAGAGATAATTCGACTTAGCAGCTCTATTTCAAAATGTACAACTAAACAAATCAAAAAAATTTATAAACTCTCTCAATTTTTTTTTGAAAATTTATCTCAAAACACAAACCAAATACATCCACAATTTTTTTTTAAAATATAACAATTTGTGTGGTTAATTTTTTTTTAAAAAAAAATTCAAAATGATTTTTCTCTCTACTATATATCAATCAATCAATCATTTGTTTCTCTCTTCCCTCTCTTTCTCTCACATCCCACACATCAATCAACATTCAACTACAAAAAAAATAAAAATAAATCATCCCAAACTTCAAAACTAATCTCCAAATATACAACCAAATAAATTTTTAAATTTTGTTTACTCTTTTTAAAAATTGTTTCACAAATATAAACCAAACATGGCCGAAGTTTGTCTTGATTTCTTATTAATGACTCCCAAGACTTGGAACCAAAATTCTAAACTTCAAACTTGCATTTCATTTCACAGCAACCTCCAGTTCTTGGGCCTGATCTTAGCGTTCAAGTCACAAAAATAGTCTCTCAAGTAACGAGGGTAAGGTGTATCTTTTTCCCACCTAGTTATGATTTATCATTTTAAGTCTAGCATTAGATAACAATTTTGGGTTTGATCAAAAGATAACAGTTCCTTCAAATCCTGAGCCCACTAAAATTAGAAGATATCCAAATAGAAAATGGGGATATGCATTTTCACACTGCTTGTTTGTACTCCACAAACTGGCCTCAATACATGTTTTGTACAAAATTAATAACAAGGTATTAGAATTCCAATCATAAGCAAACTATTCATGTATACTTAAAAAAACTTCTTATATAATTCCAAAAGATCAACCTAAACAAACAAGTTTCTTTAGATTATAGGCAATCAAGCAAAGCATAATAAAGCAAAAAACAAACTGACACAAGAAAACACAAACTGATCAACAAAAAAAGCTTAAACACTGAATAGTACTAAAATTCTGAAGCCAAGAGCCTAATCAACATTGACAGTGATTCTATCCATAATTTGGGCAACCACACCCTTGGACTGCTTGAGCAACCTGATACTCTTGTTCAGCCTCTCACGCTTCATTGCAACTGGTGGCGGCTCTTCTAGCATTCTTTCAATTCCATGGCCTCCATGCGAACCCATGACTTCCTTCACTATATCCGTTTGCATGTTCCGGTTCACCAACTCATTAATACTTAATAGCAAGTGTAAAGCCAAGTTATCAATAAATCTTCTCAGAACTATCTTCCAGTAAGCAGTGATCCGCATTTTCAAGTCAAATGCTTGCTCCCTAGTGCTTGAATAAAGCCGGAGATGCCCAACCTCAATCTTCCCAAAACCTTCAATCGTGGTCTGCGGTGACATATAATGATTATTCATGACATCCCTGAAAGCATTCTGATGAGCCATAAGCTTAGCCCATTCTGTCATGTACTCTGGACTGCACGTATAATCAGCCAGCTTCTCCATCTCTACAAGCTCCATCGCACGATCAAATGACTTTTCCTTCATTTTCGCTATAAGATTTTGCGCTGCTCTTCTTGTAGAAGACATAAGTTGTGGGTAACTATCACAATGATGCATCAAAACACGAATCACCACAGATTCAATGTAGTTCCACACTTTTGCCACGAAATCAACCGGCGTGTTTGCCATCTCCTTAACTTTCCCCCGCAAAATTATCAGAAAAGCAGCCCGGGGAAGAAAATTGGGCAACCAAATTCCTTTGGTTTCATCCAAAACCCGAATCTCATCCATGAGAAAATTCTCAGTGGACTTGTTCCCGTCACTCTTCTGAAGTTCTTCAGAGTACTCGTTTAGCATTTCAGCCAACCTAACAGTACAATGCATGTTTTTGTCATCTGGGTACTCATCAAACTCACCCCTTGACAAAATTTTCCTCAAGGACTCCATCGACAATCCAATAATTCGCATGAATGCTGTCATTGCTTCAGCAACAGATGACAATTTCTGGGGCATTCTGCTCAATTCTGAAAGGTCTGACTTCGACTTCTCATTGATCTTCCTCACAATATCAGGAAAACATTTGGATAGCATGGTGGCTTGAATTTGGACAAGTTTCTGTGCAAGACGAGGAACACCCACCATAGATTTGTTGATCTTGGAAAGAAGTGGATGAGATTGAAAAAGCCTTGCTTCTTCAACCCGAGCATCTTCATAAGACTCATCGCCAATTCGATTCCTCACACATACATAACCAAGTCCTATGTTCACATCATCCGCAGTAACTTTCTCAAGCAATCCTTCAGGAGCTATATCAACCTTTGTCACAACAGCTAGAGTCCTTTCACCGGTCTTGTCAACACGCTGCGACATCCTTATCGACTCGCATGTTGGGAAATCAACTGTTGCAGATAAAACATTCAGAATAATACTCTCATTTGGTTTGATATACTCCATTATGATCCTCGAAATTTGCTCGTATATATCTTCTGGTTGGCCATGAACAGGGACTCTGGTGATTCCGGGAAGGTCCACCATTGTAAGATTAGGAACACCTGCCTTTTTCACAACCAGAGTCATGGGGGTGTGGGAAATCCCCTTCCCATTACCTGCAATCAAAGACCAACACAGGATTTCAATATAGAGTAGCCAAAATAAACACTAATCAAAAAATTTAAAAAAATAAAAATAAATTACAACATTAATGTGGACAGAAATTATGATTTGTATTTGACATCCACTTTCATAAAGGTGGCCATTTAAATTTCTACACTATGCTTGCATTATGAATTTATATAAAAATTTGAAAAAGAAAAAAAAGGTAAGACAACTATAATTCAAAATTAACAATAATCGTAACAAATCATTAGAGCACCTCTTCAGACTTTTAAAATGAGCCATGTTAGAGCATTTTCCACGCTGAATAAAAAATTTCATCAAATTTTAATAAAAATTTGATGAAAAATTTTATTAGATACTGTTTACTCTTCAAATATATCAGATTTTTTCACATCTCCTATTTTTCAGGAGGACATCCGAACGGATGTTTTAAAAATTGTCTGGACATGAACAAAAAAATCTATCAAAGTTGCTTTTGGGTGGACATCAGGGACGATGTCCAACCCAACAATAACTACTTAAATTTGATAAAAGATGAAAGGCTCCGTTCATTTAATGAATTTTTTAGTTTTTCCCTCATTTGATACGAATTTGATGCCAACAGTGGAGCAAAAAAAGTGAGCCTATTTCATCAAATTTAAATTTGATGAAAAATCTAAGGAAAGGAGATGCTCTTAGCTATTATAGCTATGTTAGTTATTATAATTGGTATGATGATATTTTAGTAAATCTAACATATTAGCTATTATAATAGCTATTTTAATAAAATTCTTGAAGCCTAAATATATTTGAAGAGCCTTGAGAAGCATTTTAAATATTTTGTGTGCATAAATAGATAAAATAAATACATAAATAAATAAATAAAAATTAAGCAAAATAAAAAACATATATTTTTAATATTTTAATTAATGAAAAATGAAGAATATGATTGAAATTGCTCAACATCTCCATTAATTGAAGGCTTAAATGTCAATTGACATATACAAATTTGACTTATCTTTAAAAAATACTCCACCAAAAATGCCAAATTTATTATTTTATTCTATTAACCTTAATCTTTTCTATTTTGATTTTTTGTGAACCTTTTTATTGGACCTCATTATTAAAATAATGAAAACAAAACCATTTATTGTGATGCTGTCTATTTGTATAATGGAAATATTCTATTGCTGTATCTAACCGTACGTATAATAACCTTTTTTTAATATAAATTAATTATATAATTTTATTTTTATTTCATAATAATTAAATATTTATTGAAAATCTTTTATTAGATAGATTTGGTATGTCAAATTTGATATTGTTAAGTCATGTGAATTTGATGGACTAATTTCTTTCGGGTTCCAAATCAGACTGAAGAGGTATTATGAGCCTATTAGGCCCATTTTGATCATATTTTGTTTAAAAATCAACATAAACTCAGTTTAAAACTTTTTCTCAAATTTACAAATTGAGACAACCATTTATAAATTAAAAAAAATTATCATATAAGTTTTTATAAACTAAAAATTAAATAATATATACTAAAATTATAAACTAAAAATTAAAAATTATCATATAAGTTTTTATAAACTAAAAATTATCATATAAGTTTTTATAAAAAAAATTAAAAATATAAATTAAAAATTAAAAACGAAATAATTACAAAATAGGACCGAAATATTTATTGAAAATCTTCCATTAGATATGGTATGTCAAATTTAATATTGTTAAGTACCTGTTTGGCAGAAATTATAATCAGCTTATTTTAGCTTTCAGCTTAATTTAAGTTATTTTGATGTGCTTGGTTTAGCTTATAGCTTATAACTTATAGCTTTTTGGAAGTCAGAAATCAGCTTATTCTTTGAGTGGGGCATGAGATGCTTTAAGAATAAGTCAGAAATCAGCTTATGTTCATAGTTATAAGATATAAACTGTTTAGGCATAAGTTATAAGTACTTTTCCACAGCTCTACCAAACAGGGCTTAAGTCATGTCAATTTGATGGACTGATTTCTTTCAGGTGCCAAATCAGACTGAAGAGGTACTGTGGGGGTCCATTAGGCCCATTTTGGTCTGTCTTTAATAATTTTAATTGTTTATATTTGTTCAAATTTTAAGATTTATAGGGTATTAGTGTTTGTTCGTATTTGAAGGCACAGTAAAAATAAAATAAGTGAGGGAAAATGAGAAAAATAAAAAATAAATAAAAAAATAAAAAGGGAGAAAAATAAAAAATAAAAGGAAAAGAGAAAAGTAGGTGAGAGACAGAGAGATTGTATGTGTAAACAAAAAGAAGGAAAAAAAAAGAGTAAATGAATGAGAATTAAAGAAATTTTGGCCTTTAATGAATTTGAAAATTAATCTTAACTCTTGAAATAAAATGTATCTCTAAAATACTTTGACACATTTTCAAAAATCCTCTTGCTTTATTATATAGATATTATTCTTAAAAAAATTAAATTTATCAGACATCAATTTTTTAAAAAATAAATAATTCATATAAAATTAATTTAATTATGTAAATTCTGTTATCCGGTCATGCTATTTTTTTTTTATTTAAATAATATATTTGACTAATCTTAAAATATCAACAGGTTAATTATGTTTAATTATCGAAACAGCATCTAAAAACCAGCCCATTGGCCCAAATAGAACGGTCCACCCCCAAATTGATACTTCACTTTTGAGATAAGAAATTAAGAAAAGTATGTTTTAAGAATGGGTCACAATTTTTGTAATCATAATGGTTTAAAATTGTCAAAATGACGTCGTTTTGATAGTTTTGAACCATTATGAAAACGATGTCGTTTTGACAGTTTTGAACTATTATGACCACAAAAATTGTGACCCTCTAACATTGTTGTTTAAGAATAAAGAATGCAGATGTGGTACAGACCCTCGCGGATGAGAGAGAGGAGAGAGTAAAAAAAAAAAAAATTCATGACCACTAATCAATTAGGGTCATGGGATCACCTATTTTAGGAATTTCAAGCATTAATCTAAAAAATGCTACAGATATCATTTTTTTTTTTATTTTATGTAAATTCCTTGTTGTCTCATGGCTCAGGGTCGATCCTTACCTGCAATTTCATCGGTGGCGACTTTAATGGCTTCGGCGACATGGGTTTCATCAGTGGGCACTATTTTGCCAAGAAACTCTAAGTAAAGATCAGGTTGAGCATTTGAGTGGTGTTGGAGCCTCATTATGAGTGGCACTCTGGTACAAATGCCTTGGCCGCGTGGGAGGCTGATTCCGGCGAGGGATTCAAGGACGCTGGACTTGCCAGCAGATTGGTCGCCGACGACGACGATGGTGGGGAGTTGGATGCCCTCTTCAGCCACCTTGAGGTGGCGGAGCTTGTCGACGGCGTCGAGGAGTGGTCGAATGCGGTGGTTGTAGGAGGACGTAAGTGGCGGAGCATCTGCACTTGGAGTAATTAGGTAGTCAGCTGAAACTGAAGAAAGAGGTGTTGGGTCTTCAATGGCAAGTGATGAGAGTGATGTTGGGACGAATTCTAAGGAGTTTTCTTCGATGTCTATGATGTTGGAACTCTGTTGAGAATGGCTAGCCATTGTGAGAGAGAGAGAGAGAGATGGATGGTGGGGGAGTAGAAGGGGAGTGCGCAAAAAAACGGGAGTGCGCAGAAGAGGGGTTTTATAGGTAGGGGTGAAAGAAAAAACCGGTAAACTGTTTGGACCCATCGAATCGGACGAACCAGTCGATTTTTATCTGTTTTTTTTATTATTTCGGTCTATCCGGTTATATTAAAACAAAAAATCAAAATTCGGTTTGATTTTCGGTAATCATAATTTGAAAACCGTAGGCCAAGTTTGGGAAGATTAAATAAGTGCACTTTTTGATTTTTTTTGTATTATGTGTAGAAAAAATAGAGAGGAGATATTGATTGATGTGACCTAAAAAAGATAAAAAGATGAAATAAGTGCATTTTTTTAGTTTAACCAAACTTTGCCCAAATCACACTGATATATACTCCCTCCTTTTTTTTTATTATTATTTATCGGTCATTTATTTATTATTATTTTTTTTTTGTGCAAGTCATCTATCTATCTTAATTCCAATAATCAAAACAAACTTTCACATTACCCAGTGTTTCACGATGCTCAAAATAAATAAATAAAAAACTCTCTGCTCAAGAATGAATCTCATGGTCTTTGATGTTTCTGAGAGTGATTGCAACTCTCTACAAAACAAATGCTCTATCTCTCCTCTCTTTCTCTCTATCTTTTTGTGTGTGTTCATCAATGGAAGGTTTATATGCTTCATCTTCTTCTTACGAAATATTGTGTAAGTCTTCGTCTTTCATCTTCTATCTTCATCTTCTTCATGTGAATGTTGGATCTCTCTCTCTCTCTCTCTCTCTCACAAAACCCTCTTATTATTTTCCATCTTCCATCTTCTATCTTCATCTTCATATGTTCACCAATGGTCTTTCACCTTCAAGCAAAGATTTTGTTAAAGATCGAAGAACTAATGTGTACCGAACGAACCGCACCACCCCAACGTAAAACCGCTTAGTGCGGTTCTTACCAGTAATTCGGTTTGTTCGGTGCAGATCAATGGAAAATCGAAGGGTGCGGTTCGGTGCAAAAATACCACAAAACCGAACCGCACCGCACCAATTTCACCCCTATTTATAAAGATGTGGTATCCGGTACGAACTCGTATGGAATGCGATTTTAAGCATGTAAATTAAGAGAGACTTGTTTTGAGAGATAGGTTAAAAAAAAAATTTTTTTTTTAATTATATAAAAGATACAAGGATAATAAGACTTAAAAAGGTTAAAAATTTAAAAAGTTGACTTTTAACTTAATTGTCAAAATATGCCTAACACCAATTATCTTTCAATTATTTGTATTTTAATTACTCCCTAACATGTTCTTAGATTTTAATGGACTGGAAGGTATTGTTGGGTTCTTAAGATCCATCATGGTTGATAATCCGGTCAAATAGTTATTGATATTTGATCAACGTGATTTTTTATAGAAATAAAGTACTCGACGAGTTCTACACATTGAACAGTTCAGATAATTAAAACAAACCTGTGGTGAGCCCCCATGGGCCCAAAAGCACGCTTGAGTCCGATCCCAGATTAGAGAGAAGCTTGACCCGTTTCAATAAGTTCTATTATTTGAACATTTGATCCACCAATTATATAGCGATCCTAGTGTTCCCCTTCATGTATTGTATTTTGAATTCGGATCCCATGGTTGGTTATGATTGTTTATATTTTGTTTCCATCCTTAAATTCCTTGCATTTGAGTTTTAGGAAATATTGGGCAGGTTTGAAACAGGTTGGGTGTGATTTGAAACAAATGATTGCTGTCTAGATTTTGGTTTCTTCGAACGAGGCTTTTGTCGCTTGAGCGAGCTTCGGGTTTTAGTTCCTTCGCTCGAGCTAGGGTTCCTTCGCTCGAGCGAGATTTCAGTGGTATGTCTCTTCGCTCGAGCGAGCATTCTTGCGCTCGAGCATGCGTCTGCGTCTGCGTCTGCGTCTTGGAAAGACCTGAAGGTTGGTATTTTTCGCTCGAGCAAGGATTTTGTCGCTTGAGCGAGCGAGCTGTATGTTTTGTGTTCCTTCGCTCAAGCGAGAACTCTTGTGCTCGAGCGAGCATCTAGGTTGCAGATTTGAAGCTTTGTATTGTCCGCTCAAGCGAGACTTCTTGCGCTCGAACGAGGTGTTTGTTGTGTTTGGTCGCTCAAGCGACTACTTCTTCGCTCGAGCAAGCTCCGTATATATCAGATCACAGCAGCAGTCTTCTTCCTCACTTTTTGATTTTCTTTTCTTCTCAAACCCTAGATCCGACACATTCTCTCTCCACATACACCTTCTTTCTACAAATACACCTAGTTCTAATGGTCTTCTACCCTAGTCTCTTTGTAAAAAAGATAGAGCTCGGGTTTTAGTTCCTTCGCTCGAGCCAGGATTCCTTTACTCGAGCGAGATTTGAGTGGTGTCTCTTCGCTCGAGCGAGCATTCTTGCGCTCAAGCGTGCGTTTGTGTGTTGGAAAGACCTGAAGGTTGGTATTTTTCGCTCGAGCGAGGGTTTTGTCGCTCGAGCGAGCGAGTTGTATGTTTTGTGTTCCTTTGCTCGAGCAAGAACTCTTACGCTCGAGCGTGCGTTTAGGTTGCCGACTTGAAGCTTTGTATTGTGCGCTCGAGCGAGGCTTCTTGCGCTCGAGCGAGGTGTTTGTTGTGTCTGGTCGCTCGAGCGACCACTTCTTCGCTCGAGCGAGCTTCGCATATATCATATCGCAGCAGCAGTCTTCTTCCTCATTTTTTGATTTCCTTTTCTTCTCAAACCCTAGATCCGGCACATTCTCTCTACATACACCTTCTCTCTACAAATACACCTAGTTCTAGTGGTCTTCTACCTTAGTCTCATTGTAAAAAAGGTAGAGCTTGGTGTGGGCTTCACTTTTATTCGAAAAAGTTTCTGTTTGGAGCATCTTCGAGTTTCCTCATCTTCTCCATTGAGTCTCTTCTTTTGAGGTAGGGATAAACTACTCATCTTTATGAGCTTTAACATAAATTTTAGTCATTTTGATTAAATGGTGAAATTATGGTAATTTTGAAAGTTAGGGTTTGGTTTGAAACTATAAAAGAGGGGTTTTATATTTGTGGGACTCCATGTGTCTTTGAGACCTTGTTAATGTATTCATTGTATATGAAATGGATGGATTTGGCCTTGAGAGCAATGCTTGAGAAAGAAGGAAAAATGTCCTAATTGGGATTAAATAAAATGTTTATCAAAATAATGAAATTAATCATGGGAATGCATAATTGAGTGGAAATGATGAAATTGGGGACCAAATGTGATTATTGGTATAGTTGGATTGAAAATCGCTTACCTATGAAAAGTGTATCAATTTATCTGTTTGATGAATTTAAATATCTGTTTAGAAATAACTGTTTGGGCTATCGGTGGAGGATAGTCGTGATTATTGTAGAACTGCAAGATGATTAGATAAATTGAAACTAATCAACTAAGTTATGTCATTGAATATGACGGTTGGATTAACACATTGAATATGTGCTTAAATTGATCATTGTATATGATGAAGTGTTTAAATACATTGTATATGTATTTTTGTGTGGGAGGAGATAGGGGATGTACTCCACTGTTTAGGAGGAGATAAGGGATGGACTCCATTGATAACTAAGTTGGCCGAAGTGTCCAAGGTAAAAGTCCTGAAACCTTATATCCATCTAAATGATGTTGATGAATTGAAGTGTTGTCTTTATGAATTGTAGTCTCATTTCAAATCATTGATGAATTGAAGTATTGTTTTCATGAGTTGTAGTCTCATTTGAATTACTTGGATAAATAAACCATGTCGATAAAGTGAATTGGAAATGATAATGAAAGTGGGTTGTCAGAAAAATATCTTCATTGATGGATTATAAACTAAATGGTGTGTATTGATGCACATGTGTTGAACAGTTATCAGATGCTGATGTTATAGTTATTTCTCATATTATGTTTAGCATATCTCTACTGGGCTTTGGCTCACCCTATATAGGACATCATTTTCATGTACAGGTGATATGTCGCCTCCAAGGATGTAGCTTGGGAGGCTTAAAACCTGAAGGCTTATTTTTGTAGTTATCTTTTGTATTACATGTAATTCAAGCCAAGGGCTTAATATGTGAAGAGTTAGAATTCTCTTTTGTTGTAACCAAATGTTGACTTGGAAAGTTGTAAGCAGTAGGGCATTTACTTTTGTTGTCAACATGTAATACTTTTTGTAATGAATACTCTGATAAATGAATATATGTTTATTTCTCCTATGTTTATGGTTATCATGAGTGTTTGGGTGATGTATTATTTTGAGGGCGTTACAACTTGGTATCAAAGCGTACCGGGTTTGGATACTTTGGGTACGTGGGAAGTGGTTAGTTCCACAATGGGTTCGTCTCGCTTGTTAGAGACTTATGTATGATGTTATGTGCTTACATGATAACATGTTTATGTGACTATATGGGTATGGGATTTAGTTTGTAGGATGTTGATCGGGTCTATGGGTTTCTGGGAGTCCTGTTGGAAAGGCACTTGATCACTGCCTTTTCTGACCGGAACTCTAGCAACGCCACAGGATGATCATTATATGGAAATAAAATTCGAAAGTGCTTATGTGATTATGTGCTTATGTGGGGTGAATTACAGTCATCTAACGCATTAGGACGCGAGTGAAATAGCTTCGGCACATTTGTTCTTATGCTAATATTCTTGTTACCTTTATTAGGATGTCAAGACGAGGACGAAGTGATAGGCGTGGTAGGCCTAAGAGGCAGGAGATGCCTATACCGGATGATATTCCGGCGCAGGAAGAGGGTGTTGGTCAAGCCAATGTGGCCGAGCCAGTGGGTCAACAAGCCATGGGTGCCTTAGCCCGCGAGATGACCGGAGCATTGAGGGAGTCTATAGGCATTCTCAGACCTGAGAATCAAGCCCAGGCCCATGTAGCTGAGGCAGGGCCTTCTTTTCTGAAGAGGGAGTTCTTCCAGTCGAATCTGGACGAGTTCTTGGGTGATCCAAAAGAGCCACTGAAGGTCGATGAGTGGCTTGAACAGATGATGAAGACGTTTGACATGCTAG